AATCAGAGGATAAGAAAATTAAGATTAGTTGTGATGGTTCAACTGTTAATTAGAGTCACAGAAAAAGAGAATAAAGGGAGGGGATGACTTTATTCAAGAAATAATATGAAATGTATTGGACAAAAACTGCTAAGTTCCTAGAAAATGGAAATACTTGTAGCAGGACTGTGGGTAAAGCCCCTCTTTTTCCATTTCCTTATTTTTTTTGTTTTCTGAAACATGCATTAAAGAAAAAAAAGACAAGCAATCAATCACCTGTAACCTAATTAGGAAAATAATTCTAATAATACCTATCAGTCATGTTTAATGTGTGACATTCTCAATGGTTCTTTCCATGGCAGGAGAAAGAACTAGATTTGAAGAATTTGCTTTTCAACACACAGGACCAGGATCCCATAGCAACTTTACTGCTGTTTCTAATGTCAACGTTTTATCAAGAACCCAGAATTCATCATCACAGGTAGGTTTTCTTTCGTATACTGAACGTAAAAGCAGCTGACTTTTAAAATAATTTATAGATCGTTTTGCAAATCTGTAATAGCCTTATTTATTAGCATATATTAGCACATTTACAACTATCTTATCAGGAAACGATGATTAAATAATGCTTTTTTTATAGAACACTAATAGTTCATTAATCTTTGTTTATAGCTGCTTTTCTGAGTTAAAAACTTCAACTTTATCATAACCATCTCTACTCATTAACATATGAAGCTAAATATAGTCTTGCTAATAAGAATTTAAGACTTGTGTTAATTGTTTTGTTTATCATCTGGCCAGGGAATGGAACAGTCAAAAGGTGAGAGAGTTTAAAAATGAACATTCTAAAGCTTAGGGACCAGGGACACATAAACGAAGACTGTAATAACAATCTTTACTAAAGGGCTCATCAAAAAATATTTCATCATCATTCCTAATAAACAGTTTGCTAAATGATCATTTCATTGACATTTAGGGGGGGTGCTTTATGTTAGTGATTTTTGGTAAGAGTTTTACATTTTAAGGCATTCATTTGTATGGTCTTAAAAATAAGCTTGTATGTTTAAGCACATAAACACACATTACACACCTGCCAAGAGATCGTTTGCTTTACTAAAGACAGGAATATTTTCTTAATTGATTTTCTTAACATTTTATAGTCAGATTCTGTAACAGTGAATTTACAAAAATTATATAACAGGTACACTGCCATATTATCTTTATATAACTCATAAAAGGAGGGTATCATCACAAGTAACCAGACAAAAGTGTAAGATCAATTTAATCCTGTTTTGCAGAATACTACACGACGGAGATTGAGAAGTGAGAGCTCTTATGACATAGATAACATTGTGATTCCCATGTCATTAGTAGCACCAGCTAAGTTAGAGAAACTCCAATATAAGGAAATACTTACTCCAAGGTATGTATACTTACATCTTTTTATTTTTCTTTCTTCCTTCCTTAATAAATTTAAATCTTCAGTGAAATTAGAATTTTAATTAATGAAAGGA